ACACACACACACACACACACACACACACACACACACACACACACACAGAGTTCCACTCATCCATGGAGATTCCAGGCAGATGCTCACACTCATTAGGAATGAATACCATTTATGTAATTATCACCAATGAAGATTTTGGGATGATTTCTATACTTTGTATTAAGAAAATGACAAGTATTTTTACAATTTATAAATATTAATGTATTTTCAAACTACATACGTAATCAGGAGATGCTGAGTCAGGTGCTGGGGAGCCCATTCTCTTCTCCCTGCCCACTACTCTTCTCCTTTTCCTCCTGATGGAGAGCTGCTGGTGCATGGAGACGTTTTACTCTTTGTAAAGGATATATTCTTTAATTCAAGTGCTTATATTCTGAATCTCTTTGAGGGTTTCTGAAACAGAATTTTTAATATATGCTGGGACATTGGGATTGGCTATAATGAGCAAAAACAGATTTGGTAAATGAAATTAACGTAATACAAGTTTCACCTCAGAGTGTAAAATTTTGTCACCAAGAAGGCAAGGGACTTCTTCAAATACTAAGACTTAAGTTTGCATTAGGACAAAGGATTATTTATTTCTCCAGTGAATATGGTGAAGATGGTTCTCATATCCTGTAAGTGCAGTACCTATTAGTAAAGTAAGGCTCTTTGTTTTTATGCTGGGTGTAGGGGTCAGGCTCCTTCTGAAGCAGAGCTGAATTACTTGAGGACTGCTAAATCTCTGGAGATGTATGGCGTTGACCTCCATCCCGTCTATGTGAGTAACATTTAATTAACACGAGATATTTTAAGCTGATGACATTTTTCTTAAAAAGTCACCGAAACTCCCAAAGGAAAGCTGTAGTCCTGTTGTTTAGCAAGCAGATGATACTTTCTCATCTGTTTTTCGAACACAAAGCATCTCTTGCATGGATTAAACCCTAATGAGTTTTGCTTAAAAGCCTGTGATTATATTTCCATGTGTAGAAAACAATTAACTGGGCTTGAAAACACAATCTGGATAACAGCTCCATAGGGCTTAGCTAAACGTCAAAACAATTTAAAATTGGTCTATAATTGATTGTATGAGACAGAAAACAGGAGGATTTTCCAAAAATAAATTTTATGACCGAAAAGCATTCATGAAATCACTTACCAGAAAAGTAGCCTTTAGGCACCAGTGTAGGTGAAGGTGTTGATGGTTCTATGTTGGATATACAGGTTCTCTCAATATTAGGGTTACTGCTTACTATAGTTATCACCACTGCATTAGAAATGGTTTTGCAAATTTTCTTTAGTGGCTGATGAACACTGGCTGAATATAGACAGAGTTTATACTAAATCTGTGTTGAGTGTTTTGGAGCCATGTCTTAACCTTGAAACCATTTCTCAAAGGTTACCAATTACAGTTCTTTGCCTGTGAGGTTGAAATGCCATTGCCTTTCATTTTGTAAGAGTTGAGTTAGCAATAGTCCAAATTTGATGATTTGAGAAAATGAGCCAGGTGCCTTATTCTTTACACAAAATGAATTGCTCAAGATTTTCTATAGACAAGGTCAATTAAATTATGGAATGTGATTTTTAAGGAATGCTGATTAAACTTACCATAATGCAAGTAACTCATTTATGGATTCATTTTGCAATATTCGTTTGCTCGTCAGAGTTTCCTAAACCAAGAAATCTTCTCGTTTTCTTCGTAAAAAGTAGAAGCACCTCTGGGTATACTGTTAGTATGGCAATAAAAGTTACATGTTTGGGTCAAGTAGTAGTTTCTTGATATAAAATATCCAATCTCATTACATCATTACATGCTCTATACTACTGTCATTTAAGAACACCTCTAAAACTTAGTGGAATAGTTACTGTTTTCCCTTCTAGCCACATTAATCATGTTGAGCTTTTAGTTTTTTAAGAAATATATAGGAAGTGTGTAAAAGAGAGAATCTTCTGAAACACAGCTCTGCTTTTGTGTAATGCTTATCCTAATTCATATACACTTTTTTTGTGGATGGTAGGAGTTTATGGCAAATGAACTGGATTCAGTAGAATCTTCCATACATTCCTCTAAAATTGAATTTTCAGAACTGAAAGTGGGCAACAGCTGGGATTCTTCAAAAATATATGCATTGTCTTATATTCTTGGGAGTATGACTTTACAGGCTGTTATTTGACCTTAGAGTAGAAATACAATTCATACAGACGTGTGCATGTCCTTCATTACCCACAGTGTTTGTGACTTTGTCATTTCAGAATCTCATTTTCTTAATTAGGATTTATCATCTCCTGGAAATTGAGGGTCTTCAGTCTTTACCAGAAGAGATGTATTTTTAACTCTTTTGAGTAGTAAAGTCACAAATGGAAGTAGGAGGGAGCATGATAGAAACATCAGAAAATCCAGGTGTGTGCCTGAAGGCAGCTGCCTGAACTCAACTTTCTGGAGAAGGGTGGTGGAAAGCCAGGTTTCATGATTATCTACATCTAAGAATAAGATCGAGATGAGCCAACCCTTGGGAAGGAACTCTTGATAGAAGCCAGTGGTTCTCAATCCTTGGCTGCACAGGAGAAATCACCTGGAGTATTTATGTATTTTTGATTCCTAGGCCCCTTCATTACAGATTCTGATTTAACTGGTTTTGGTAGCACCTGGGCATCAGCATGTTAAGCTGCACAGGTGATTTCAGTTAATGTGCAGCCAGGGTTGAACTGCACTGTAGGTGCAGTGTGGGGTGAGTCGATCAGTGGCCTGATTGGTAGTCCAGGTTCTTTTAATGAACTGAAGTTCTAAGTATGAATATACTAAGAAAAATTTTCATTAAAAAATTAAAAATAAATGAGCAGCAAGCTAGCTGTTACCATAGCTTAGCTAGCTTTCTAACTTGATGTCTTTGACAAACTAGACCCAATATTAATACAACATATTATGGTTGTATGGCCAATTACAGTTTGACAAGGAGCTGTGACATGAATAAATTCATGGGTAATAGGCATATGCTTGTTTTTGCAGGGAGAAAACAAATCTGAGTATTTCTTAGGATTAACTCCAGTTGGTGTTGTTGTCTACAAGAATAAAAAGCAAGTGGGGAAGTATTTCTGGTAAGTATAACTTGAGGGCAGAGTTAGTATTAAAATTATACGCTGTATATACTAGGCTTATGGGGCTTACTTGTCAGTGAAAACAGGTACGTTTCCAGTGGTTGGTAAATAAATGAGTAAAACTGGGTATACATTTTCTCCCAGTGCATCTTAGTATGTATTTTCTCTGTAAATTTTAGGTACTGTGATTCTGGACTCTCTTGTCCATGCAAATTATGTGTAGTAGGATTTCCTATCCATTCCAGTGTATGCTGGTGGGCTGTGGGCCCAGGACTACTTTGAGTTCTAACTCTAAATGCGGGAGGCATTTGGAGGGCCTGGGAGCCTGTAGCCCTACACCGTGTCTGGGAAGGCAGACTGCTGAGACTTTGGGGATTCCAAGCTTGTCTGTATCTACTGGAGAAATACAGGAGAATGAAAATGGAATTTTATTTAGGAAAGTGTCCAGAGCAAATGACATACAGGGAACTCTCTACAATTACTGGAGCAGTATATACAGAAACTGAAACGAGCCAGTCTTTTCCCACTGGATAATTCTCTGAATTTCTGAAACATTAATTCTTAAAAACTACACCACCGCTGCCATCTGCTTTGTTTTTCAGGCCACGGATTACAAAGGTTCACTTCAAGGAGACACAGTTTGAGCTCAGAGTACTGGGAAAAGATGTAAGTTTTTGTTGACTGCTCAGCTTCCCTTAACTGAGGAGAGAAGTCTTGTCTGCTCGTTGAGAACTTAAAAATCATTGTGAAATAAAACTGCCATGTTTCTTCAGCTGCAGCCACATGGAACCAGGTTAATGGACTCATGTGCACAACTTCTTCTCAAGGAAGGGAAAGGGAAGTGAGTAGAAATGAACGAGTTGATTATAGAGGAGTGTCATTTTAGTTTTAGCAAAAAGAGAAGAAAACCCTTTCTAGGGCACAAGAGAGAAGAGGAGGTGATTATCATTATTAGAGTAGTTTGCTTTGAAGTACTGTCTATGAAGGTAGGATTCATCTCATCAGAAGCATGCAACCTGCATATAGGATAAAGAGTGTCCTCATTTTGTCCCAGGGTAAATTAAACAACCTGTAGGGAGTAACACTTCTATTCTCTCTGGCATGGTGGATAAGCTGGATGGGAAATTCTGATGCTTTCAAAGGAGAATGTAAGGCAAGGGTGCAAAAATATCTTTGCCCTGCAAGCTGGCAGTGTCCTCCAGGATTGTTTGGGTCACGGGCACAGTATTTATCAGAGTCTGGAGGTAGCTTTTAAGCAGTGGGGCCAAAAAAGGCAAGAATGTGAAAGCTTCCTTTTAATCTACCTGTGAAAAGAGTGCTCCCTTGAAGTGCGATTACTCTAATTTGTATTTATGGGATAAGTTAGTGGAAATACGATGTACGAGAACCATCCTTCTGTCTCTTTGGTAGTAATTTTATGTAGACCCAAACCCTGAGTGGATGCATTGAATGGACTTTCTGAGGAGATTCTGTTGTAAAAATGAGGCAAAGAAAACCTGTGCTTCTGCATCTACACGTTGAGACACGGGAAAGGAGTGGCCGCTGGCTCAGGTGCAGCATGGTACCAGGCAAGGCCTCACACATAGCAGGTGCCTGCTCAGGATTTGTTGAACAATCTGTGAACGGATGGACTGAGATTACATACTGTCAAATCAGAAAGCCTGATTTTTCTAGAAAAATACAGCGATCCTTCCCTGAACTGTGTGACATGCTGCCATTTTTTGATAAAATTAAAATTGGATTTTGAAATGAGTTTTAACTTGTAAGGAGGGAAATTCCAGATTAGATTAAAAAAAATGATATTCCCAACACCTCATCATAGTTCTTAGCAGCCTAGTTTTCTTCAGTTCCTGATTAGACACATCAGTGGTAAAAGATGTGCTGTGAGATTGAATTAAAGTCATCCCAAAAGTAGAACAGCTAATTGGATAGTAGGGCTACGTGATTTTTTTCCCTGTCCTGCCACTGGTTTCACAAGAATTAATGCAAGGAATAAAGTCTATTCAATACGTTGAAAATAATGTTTCACGTTTTTAATAAGAATATTATAAAATAATAAGACTTTCTGTGGAAGCATTACTATTATTTAGAGTCATTTTTCCCCCTCATACCTGTTATTTTCATGAGTGAGGTCCTTTGGTCAACTACTTTTATGTTATTATTAGAGTGCCTTAAAATGTCTTCTGCCTCAGGATAAACATTTGTCGAAGTGTCAGCTAACTTGAACTTCTAACTTCTTAGATTTTTTCATTATTAGGTGAAAACAAAACAACAAAATTGATAGTTTTCATGTTATTTTTTTAATAATTAATTTTTTTCAACGTTTTTTATTTATTTTTGGGACAGAGAGAAACAGAGCATGAATGGGGGAGGGGCAGAGAGAGAGGGAGACACAGAATCGGAAACAGGCTCCAGGCTCCGAGCCATCAGCCCAGAGCCTGACGCGGGGCTCGAACTCACGGACCGTGAGATCGTGACCTGGCTGTAGTCGGACGCTTAACCGACTGCGCCACCCAGGCGCCCCTTTCATGTTATTTTTTTAATGGCAGTGTCATGGTGTGACCTTGTTTCCTCCCAACCCTGCTTTGCCTCAGTCCATTCTGCAGCTTTGAAAAGGAGTAGGTGTGGGGCACCTGGGTGGCTCAGTGGGTTGAGTGTCCAACTTTGGCTCAGGTCATGATCTTGCAGTTCGTGAGTTCAACCCCCACATTGGGCTTGTTGCTGTCAATGCGGAACCCACTTCAGATCCTCTGTCTCTCTCTCTGTCTGAAAAAATAAATAAACATTAAAAAAAAAAGAAAGAAAAGAAGAGGAGTGGGTGTTTGGGTGTCGCCTGAGGCACTGCGTGCTCCTGGTTCATTAGCCTAATGTCACCAATGTCTTACGGTGAAGCAGGTCACATAACTCAGGCTTGAATCACAGGGATTTTTTTTTTTTTTTAAATAGGACATTAATTTAACCAAAGCACTCCTTTTCCTGAGCGTTCTTGCTTTGCAGTCTTTCTTCCCTCTCCACCTGGGTATCTGTGAGGAATGATTTACATAATGGTGGAATTAAGCTGATTATTATGGAGACCTAACTGTAATCATAGATTATATATAAAAACCCCATGAAACCCGTCACCTGGAACAGTAATCACAACCAGCTCGCAAAATGGTTGAAATGCTTATTCTGGTTTTCTGCTCCACTGGTCCAGTCAGAGAGACTTAACTCAGTATGTTCAGTGCTCTTAGGGCCAAATTCAGACATTCAGTTCCCCAAAGATCAGCAATGTCCTACAGGTAAAAGATTTTTCCTGTTGTCACACTATGCCACTAACACTGTCCCACTCCACTTTTTAATATTAACAGTGTCTACCAAAACACATTATCATATCTTAATAAATATAATGTGCTAACACATAGTATTTATTCATACATGTCTTTGCATCCATAAATAACAGTCTCATCTTTCTCAGATATAACCTTAGTGAGTTCACTGATTCAGATTTGAGAGAGGAACAAACACTGGTTTTGTAAAACTAAAACTAAAGTCTGGTTTTGTAAAAATTTAGTCCTTTGACAGATTCAGCAGGTAATTATAAATACTTCTGTGGATTAGTTAAGCTTCCAAATAGGTACTATGGCTTAAATAATACCTCTCAGAAAAATAAAAACTTTAAGTATAAAGGTCTTCCATGATGATTGTAGAAAATCTGGGAAATATACTGTAAAGAAGAAAATGAAAATTACCTCTTAAAATTCAGAGGTAATGATTATTATTTCAGAACAAGCCCTTTCAGATTTTGCTCTGTTAGCATGAATGTGTAATATACATATATATACACATATATATGTGTCATCCCCTATGTGTTTCTATACGTGGGTTTTATACTTAATTTCATATCATAAGCATTTTTCCTTTTATTTCATTTTTTCATATGTGCCTACACAGTGTTTGATAAATGTGTTTTACTGTTTTATGTGCTTGACCTTTTTTTTTCTTCATGTCGTGGATCAATGTTTTCCTCCTATTGTATCTTATAAATGTGTTCTGCTGGTAGAGGTGAAAGCTGTGGAATTTTATTTTTATCTCAGATCTGGCTGTTTTGCTGAACTCTTGTGTGTTAGACAAGAGTTCTTAATTTTATTCTCATAAATTTTTGTAGGTATATAATTTTGTTGCTTGCAAATAAAAATAATTTATTTGCTCCTTTCTGTTATTTATGTTTCATATTTTATAGTGTTGGTCGTAACTTACAGAAGAGTGTTAAGTGATCTAGTAATATAAAGCACCTTTGATTGGTTTCTGATTTCAGTGAAAATACCACTGTTCCACCACTTATGTGTTAGCTCTTGGTTTTAAGAACATGTGTTTATTATGAGAAGTTTAAATTTTTTTAAGTCTATTATCAAATGGTTGCTGTTTACTGAATTCCTTGAGAGCAAAGATTGTTGCTTGTTCACCCATTGACCACCTAGTGTTTATTTTCAAAATCTAGACAAGGAGCACCTGGCTGGCTCATTTGGTAGATCATGTGACTCTTGATCTCAAGGTTGTGAGTTTGAGCCCCACATTGGGTATAGAGATTACTTAAAATCTGAATAAAATATTTTATATTATATTATATTATATTATATTATATTATATTATATTATATTATATTATATTATATTATATTATAT